GTACTGAATAACACAGCATCCGAAAAGTTTTTCTTTATTGTTTAACTGAAGCCAACTTAATGATGGTCTTAATGCCAGTGGACACGGAGATAATTTAGGACTTTTACTATTTTTTTATAAAACAAATGTAAATTTACTTAGACTGGGAGCAGATCCTCTTTGCTTTGGAAACAAAAGTTCTTAAATTTAGAACAGGAGATAAATCAAACTTCAGCTGCTTAGAACTGAACATAGAACATAGCACTTTTCCCAAGAACTGGCACATAGCTAAATACTGATTGAAAAATCTAATTTTACCTGGATGCAGCATTAACCTATTCAAAAAAGGGATTCGTTACTTATGCCTCCTAAGCAGTTTTAAGCACGTGTGGAATCACATCAAGATGCAAGTCTCATCCATTGAGTAACCTATATTACTAACAGACCTCAAAATAAGTTCTATACCTTCACTTTATATGCTTATGTCTCTGTTGGCATTGATTTTAAAATTTATCTGAATATATAAACATTTTCAGAAGTTTCCCATGCTTTATACACCATTCTTTTCCCACACTTTGACTTATTGGTAATGGACAACCAAATTACAGGAAACCAAACAGGAAAATTAACATTAATGTGTTTGGGGATTTTACACACACTAATAGCTAAATAAGGAAGGAAACACAAGTCTCCTAAGACACCAAGTTGGTCCTGATTAATGTAGTAAGAAAATTGTAGCTGACTGATGCAAATGATACCAGCTATAAACACCAATGATTCACCATCCTGACATATTGCTGGCATAGACTTCCTTTTCACAGTTACCTTCACATTTAATTTCAGAACTGATCTAATACATGAATATGTTTTCTGGTTTATGCTGAATGAAGTGACCTCTTTATCGTAAATCTCCAAATATTTTGCATGACACACGAAAGATAGAGGACAGGTGACTGAACAACAGAAAGCATTTTCTCACAATTAAAAGGAGATGCTTGGATGAAGCTGAAAAAACTTCATAACTCAAGCAAACAAAGCAAACTTGCTTGCAGATAAGTGTAATCTTTTACATTGCTCTTCATAACTTACCTGAAAAATCTAATAAATATTTTTCTACCCCACACACAGAAAAATTGCTTAAATATTTATTTACCAATTTATTAAATATACTTACATCTTGTTAAATTATACACTTATGCATGCATGCAGATGTACACACACTCAAAATACACATATTAAAACTGCATATCAAAAATATAAGAGGAACCAAAAAGACATATGCAGGACAAGGCCGTCTGCTCATTTCTGAAGCTGGTGATTTAAGTAACTGCTTTTTTTTGGAGTGTTGAATATTTGAACAATCTTAACACTGGAATTAGTTGGCTTTTAATGAGGCTTTTCCCCTCGAAATAGAGGATAGGTTGAAAAAAGCTTCTTTGAGAATAAATTAAAAAATATTTATTCATAGTAAATTCTACCACCAATTCTGTTGAAAATGACTCATAGATGCATGTTAATGTCAGAAGTGGTATTGTTACAGTATCTTGCCCGAAAAATTGCTTAACATGGATCACAAATTTTCATCCACATGCTAGTGTCACTGTCCCACTATCATCAATTTGAATAAAACTGGTGGTAAAAAAAGAAAATGGTTTAAAAGCTATCAACGTCTCTTACCAGTACCTTCCACTAATTAATCAGCAGAGCTTGTACAATTCCTAACTTCTTCCCAATTTGAACTTGCCTGACGGATTTCTACTTCCTCTTTCTACCAGTTTCTTTTTTAAGTTAAAGAATTCTTCAGTATCTCTGTTAAGGTACTTCCACCCCATAATCAACAGACCTATTGGATTTTTAATTAATTACTTTGTATGCTTATCAATTTATGCATTTATCCCCTCCAGGCCTTATGTTATTTGCATCTCCATAAATGTCCTTTTACATCAAACATAGTCCACTGCTGTTTGCCATTACTTCACAATGAATAATTTAATCCTATATAATTAAAATGTGATTTTTGTACTCAGCCTGCTTTACCTACTTTGCATGTCAAAAATATTATTCCAACAAAAAAATCTTCACAATGAAGTGCTTTATACTTACAGATATATATTTATATATATAGTATATAAATTTTTATAATATATATATTATATACACTATATATATAGTATATATATTTTTGTAATATATATACTTACAAATATATATTTTTACACTGTGCTACTTTAAAACCTTTTCTACAGAACCTTTCTTTATAAGCCACTTTTGTTTTGGTAATGTATGAATGTGGGTGTCAGGGTTTGGGTGTTTTTTATTTGTTTTTACTATCTAAAATAGTAAATATTGAATTCGTGGTAGCTAATACCTGTAAACAGGAATTTCTCTCTTTCTGGATTTATCTGTTCAATGACATGTGATTTTTGCTTTTGGAGCAGAAACATGAAATAACTTTATCTTCTCAATTTTCCTGACAACAATGACATGAACTCTGTCTCTGCCACGGAAGAACAGGAAGTGCAGGAGAGGGAACACTGTGGTAGAAGAGCCAAGGTTTCTTTTCTTCATTTTTTTCATAAGGTTTCCTGAACTATCATGCTATCTATCAATCTCTGAGAATATAACGCTTCAAACCCTGTTAGCCTGCCCTTTTGCAATTCGACTCTTTCTCTAAGGAAAACAGATTTACAGTGAAAGTACCATCTGAGGTACTATAGAAGGAAAGAAGTTTGAAGATGATCACAAGGCACAGTGTAACTTTTTCTAAGTTAAGTTACCTCTGCTGCAGTAGTATCCATAGGGCTTGTGTCTGGAAACACACTGTTAAAATTGAGACATTTATGATGCTGGAATAAAAGCTGAACAAAACCTTGAGTTTCTACAGGAGTTCAGTGTAGTAGTAGAATGAGAAGCTGTTTTTCTTGGGTTTACTTGCCTTTATACTTATTGAAACCAAGGTTAAGTCCTATAGTACCTGCTGTACAAAACTAGAATATGGTGAAGATTAATACTCCAGTATCAGAAGCTGTAACCTGATTGTAATGGTTTTTCTACTTCCGTTTTTTATTATTTACAGGTTTTAGTCATCTATAGAACTTGTCTGAAACATTTCAACACTTTATAAGCTTGACCATGTTTACAGAAATAAAGGAATAATAGAATATGAATAATGCAACAAAGAAACTCAGAAATTATACTCCTTTACCACTTAAACAGGAATTGCCTCTCTGCTGGGACATCCTCTTTTAACACAGACTGAGAATGAAGGGTCTACACCTCTTTCCAGACACGTTGGGAGAGACGGATGATAAGAAAAAAAAATCTTTGTACCCCTTTCTGTGCTTCCACACAACAGTGCTAGGAAGGGATTTGTTGAAGTTTTACTGCTTTTTGGACTTATTCCTTGGCTGCAACTTTTGCTACACAGCTGAAGAGAGAAAAACATCCCTGCATTGCTATACAAGAACAGGGGATAAAGGAGGGGGCAAAGAGAAAAGTGAGTGAAAATGAGTGAATGAGAAGAGTATCAATGAAGGACGATGGCAGAAGAAATTAAAAGAAGCACATTTAAATTAGAGAAAACTATATGGCAATGAGTCACAAAGAACAATTGTCCTGGCTCCAACAGGACTACTTCTCAGAGAAGAGGTAGCTTGGTGCTTCCAGAGGTTACCAGACAAAAAAAAAAAAAAAAAAAGCATGTCACAAGTGAGATTTTTTCTCTCTCTCCAAGTCTGACCATGCTCTAAGAGTGTTCATATTACACCATCAGTGAAATGTCTTCAGTGTTTTCCTGTTTATTCTCTCCCTAGATGACCACTACTAAAGAGTCAATGTTTGCACACATTTGGGAGTTAAAGGACGTAACACAGCACTGGGACGTGTTGCATTTAGGATGTTCTCCTTGACAAAGATTTCAGACCTCACAGCCAACACAGCAGTAAAAGAAATCCTTTCACTTATCTGTTCCAGATTGCTAGCAGAGAGGTTTTTTTTTTTCAGACTATAAATTTCATTTCTTATTTTTGATGTCTCTCATGTAAAAAGTTTCTGAATGTTATTGAGATGTTCCATCTGTAATCTGCCTCCCTAAGGAAAGTACAGTACATCTGTGTGACCTACAAAAACTAAGAATGTACAATATATGTCAGGATAAGTCCTTCCCAATGGGAAATACTTCTTTAAAATATGATTTTTCATACTTTCTTTTTTCTCTGCCTAGATGAAACTCCCCAAAAGACTGAATTACCTTTTACATAATTTTGACCTCCAAAACCCAGACCTGGCATACACAAGAAAGCACTTCAGATGAATAGAAAGAGACATTGTTTTCATTTCTTTTTCATTTCCTTTTCTTCTCCTCGAGTTTTAGATTAAGAAATGTTTAGCATCTGGAAAATTGGTTTTCATTTAAGACAGAGAAAAAGCTATATATATTAATTCTGAATGTTCTCAGAATTAAAAATTAAATATAATGTGCAATAATGACCCTATTCAATTTGCTACTCATAGTTTTAACTTTCTAAACATATCTTATTATCTCTTCCCATTTATTAAAGTTAAGGCTGAAGAAAATGGAAAAATAAAAGAAAGGCTGAAGAAAATGCAAAAAATATAAAAACTTTTGTAACGGTACTGCACACTCTAAAAACTGCTCTCACTCTTAGTGAAATTTAAAAGCAATGAAATTGATCCCTACTTCTTTAGCTTCTCACCTAGAAAATGAAACTGGCAAATGATACTGGTTAAATGTGACATTAAACTAAAGCTATAAAACACATACAGCATTGTGGAGAAATAAAATAGTTTCCTAGCCAAAATCAGTTTATTTCAAATTTTGCCATGCCTTCGCATTTGTCTCTGTATGTACTGACACCAGACTTCTGATACTGACTTCAAAGGGAAAAAAATGGATCTCTTTCTGTAAGGTGGTCAGATGCAGTTTCCAATTGCAATGTTACACTTTGGATTTTCAACTGGTGTGACAAAGTGATAATCTATTTTATACTTTTACAACATACCTTGAGAATTTTGCACATTATCTCATAAACTGAAAACGTTTTCTCAGCTCGTGTCCAATCCCAGGTTGTGACCTTGGAAAAAACACAACAAACAAAACAAACAAAAAAAGGAAGTGAAGTATTTTTCCTTACTTTAAGAACTAATTTTATTAAAAAAAAAAAAAATCTATCCCTAAACCATTTACATCCAGTATAATGTACACAGAAAGATCAAGCATTGCCTCAGGGCAATAACTACTGGGGACCAGATTTTTCCATCCAGGCAGCACTTACAAGTCATCCTATCTGTCTCCTTGTGCTCCTGTCTCTCCAGTGCCCTTTCATGCAGGCTGCTCTATGCTGAATGATGAAGCTCCCCTGGGAACTGGTGTGGGTTGCATTGAGAACCTGAGAAGATGCAGAGCTTGAATTCCGCTCATAGAGACTTGACTATAAGAAGGCATATTTTCACCAATTCCCTCCTCATAACTGCATGCAACAATTTGCATTGGCACCTATATTTTTTTGCAAATCCATAAACTAAAGTTTCCAACCTCGAAATGTCCAGGACACTTACCCCACATGCTCTGAAATCCAGGGAGAAAAATGAATAAGAAACAAGAGCAAATATATTTTTCCCTTTTTTAAACTGAGACCTAAAATTTAACAAACTAAGATTTGAGGAATAGTCAATTTCTCCTTTGTCTTATGATTTGACAATTGGTTTTATCAGTATCAATTTTAAGCAACTATTTTACACACAAAAAAAAATTGCATAATGAGTTCAATACAAGCAAGAGTAAAGGCTAAGATTTAAATAAGACAGAAAGGGATGGATGAATATATTCAGTAAGGGAAGAGTCAAGATGATATCACAGCAATCTATAAATTACTTTCCAAGGAAACTTTGAGAATGAAAGGGTAGAATTATTCACAATCTCAAAAGACACAAGAACACACAACAGAATGCAAATTGAGGCTACATATGAAAGAAATAAAATCTTAATAGAAGTTTTGAATAGTGGCCCAGCTCCAAAAGAAGACAGTTATAACAACTGTTAATAACAACTGTTAAGCAGGATGAAGAGGCCATTGAAGTCTGAAGTTTATTTGGTTTTCAAGATCCAAAACTATAAAGTTCTTTGAAAAAGATGTATGAGACCAACTTATCTTTTATTTAAATAGAAAACAATAGACTAAGAGTTTAAGAAGCAGTTGGGAGATGTGATGAAGAACATATAAAATGCTTTTGTCAAGGAAAGGGAGGAAGGGAAGGAGGAAGGAAGGAAGGGAGGAAGGGAGGAAGGAAGGGTCTGCTCTTTATGCTGTGGACAAAAAAGGTCGAATTTCTCACCATGGACAGAGAAATGAGGAGAGGAGTCTTGCTACAGCTCCACTGAGCCCAAAACACCAGCCACACAAGCTGAAGTCATATTACCCCATTGGGAAAAGTTGTTACTACTGCTTCTGAAGCACAAAGTCATTCAGAGCTATGTACAAAAGCTTACTGTAGGTTCCAGACTTTGGGGAAAAACATCAGAGTTCTCCCTTCTCTGCATGTTTTCTACTTCTGTTTTTACTTATAAAGGGACTTCTTTTCAGGTAAAAAAAAAAAAAAATCCTTTTTCTATATAAAGACATGTGCAGAGCAAAAGCAACTGCAGAATTAAGAAACCCACAGAAATTGCTTGCCCTGCTCATTTTTAATATTTTAACTTAAAAGCTTGAGTAGCAAAAGGTGTTGGCAGCTCTTTGTCAATTAAAGTTCATTCTCTGTGAGATTTCCAACTATGAAGTGTAAGAAAGTGAAACCCACCAGACTTGGAAAGTAGAAGTACTAACGATCAAACAGATAAAAAAACAGGGCAGAAGAAGGCTGATGATACACACTGTTCAAAATGTGCTTCCCTAATGTGTTAGACTTTGGCAGAAACTAGGGAAACATTTTATTTTCTGGTTCAAAAGTTGGTAGCACTTCTGTGTTCAGAAAACAACTAAATCCAAGGAATTTACACTGCAAATATACTTAAAACTGTTTTTATAACTACACTTTATGCATCCCACAGAAAAAAGCTCTGAAACTGTGGCATTGTGTGTTCTTAATCTTTTGTAATCCCTGGAAGAGATGAATATATATACCTGTAGAATAATGAACATAACTGCATGTGTTCAAATGTCCATACAAAAAACAGGATTTTATAAGTCCTTTTAAAAGGCTTACTGCAGTCCGATAAAACCATAATCTTGCTGGGCATGTAAGTATGCAATTAGTGTATATACATTAGATGTTTTTAAGGTAGGTCAACAGGAACTCTTCCTCTTTTTGTCCTTTAAGAAGTATGTTTGTCATTTTGCTTCCCTCCTACTCTGTGCAGAGAATATATTTTTCTCTATGCTTGAACTGCCTATTTTGAAATACGAACCAGAATCTGGAAAAACAAAATCATGTCCAGCTTGCAGCTCAACTGAAACAAGACCTATAAAGACTTCAAGGATCAGTGGCTTGTCTCATACAACAGCAGCTTGCCAAAATTGTCCTAACTCACATCACCATGGTTCATAGCTCTAATATGAACATGTTCCTCCAACATCCTTTAATCGTGACCTATTATCCGTTTACCCAACAGCAGTATATTATTCCTAGAAATTTATGATTGAATCCTCAGTAAAGGGGCTTGTAGTTCCTTACGTAGTGCCTACAAATGAATCTTCCTCTTCAATATTGAACCAGAGGTCTCAGCATTGTTTCTGCTTCTATCCAGTGTCTAGAATGGAGGTGGCTTTATTTGAAATAGGAAGCAAATGTTCAGGTAGGTCTGCCAAAGCCAGGAAAGTTGCTTTTGAATTAAGGTGCTTGGCATCCTAATCTGACATTTTAATCCAATCCTGAATAATATCCACCAACAAAAGCCAACCCCCCATTACTAGCCATGTGAGAGCCAAACTCCAGTGAACCACTAGTGAACTAGTGTACCAACACTGAACACATGAAGTTTTCAGTTCATACTTCCGTCTCTCTTGTCTTTCATATGTTTTTAAACACTGTGCTAAACAAACATGAACAGTGACTGATGAACGATGCACAGACTTGCAAACTGGCTTTGAACTATCTCAGGAACAGGTTGCCTAGAAAGGTAGTAGGTGCCCCATCCCTGGAGACAGTCAGCGTCAGGTTCAATAGGGCTCTGGGCAACCTGCTCTACTTGAAGATGCCCCTTCTCATTGCAATAGAGGTTGGACTAGATGACCTTTAAAGGTCCCTTCCAAGCTAAACTATGCTATGTTTCTGATTCAGGCAGGAAGGGGTACAGCCTGGATCCTGCAACACAGGGTTTAGCAGCAGTCAGAAAGGTCACCCAACAAAATGAATCCACATGACTGTTGCGGGTATGGTACTGCTACCGGCTCCTTCCCTACTTGCTTACAAGTTAGCTAGAGGGTTCCTCTGTTTACTGTGGTTATGTACCATAAACAGTGAAAGTAAATGCTCAGTATAAGACAAAATATAAGCTAAAATTTTGCCCAGTGTTGCCAGTCAGATTCCAATTAATATATTTAATCTAAACAATTTCATTTGATTCCCTACCTTCTTTTTGATGCTTCCAAGCAGCATAAAAGTAACATTCCAGATGAAATCTGAATACAGAGATATTGTCATTTCCACAGATGAAAAAAGCTTTGATATTTCCCCAAATCTCAGAAGTTTGACTAGAATGATAGTTCAATTTAAATCTAACCATCTTACTTCAGGACTGCTCTGCCTGCTGAAGGAAAATGAAAAGCCCCTTTTTAGCACAAGTAGATATCTGTTGTATTTTTCTAAGTTCTTAGGTAACTGGGGGAAAAGAAATTCTTGCTAGATGCCCAATCATCTGATAAACAGATGTTTTCTGTCACTTCTATACCACATACCCTGGAACTTTTCAGTGCTGTAAGTTGCAATCTTGTTAGCTCAATGAGTGGTTTTCATTGTGAAAGCCTTGCATATATTACATGAAATTATTTTACTTAATAAAACTTATTCCCACTAAGCACGCGAAATATACTTACTGGAGGTGCTATAAATTTATACAGGGAAGATCCCCGCAGTGCTAGGAACTTTGGTGTGTACATTCGATCCTGAAGGGAGTCTTGTTCCCGTTCTTCCGTCCAGCCCATGTAGACTATCTGACAGAAAAATCAATAGTGTTGACAAATGTCTCAGACATTTTCTTCAAATGAATTGCAAACATTCCACAAAAGTAAGCTGATGTCCGTCGAATTTTACATAGCTACTAATCTAGAACTACTGACAAAATTTGGTGTACTGGCAGTTTGCTTACAATCACATACTTGTATAAAGGATTCCTGTTATGACAATCCAAAAACATCAGAACAAATATTTATTGTACTAGCAACAATAAAAATGCCAAACCACATACTCAAGGGATGTTAAAGGTCTATTACATTATTAAAATCTCCCCGAAATAATTCTGCATATTTGCTGCCAGATTATGTCAGAGGAATTCTGTGCAAGTGAAGTGTAAGGAACCACTAGGCAGGAATACAAAATTAAGTAGCTGTTGTTACACTGCTATGTAGACACAGTCTCCACATACAAATTCACAATTATGTATTAAACAATGTTACCTGACAAATTTTATTTCCAAAAAACGACAAGCTTTATTTTTTCCCTTCCGAAAAACCCCTGTATAGGCATTTTCAACCTCCTTCCTTAGGAATAGCAAATTAAGACTGTTTCCAGACACTATTTTGAACAGGCTTCATCTACAGCTAAGAAATAACCAGACTGCTGTTGACTTTTCCCACTATTTGAAGGTTATCTGACAGAGATGCATGAACTAGAACTTACTCAAACCCATTTAAGGATTTAATTCCCTACCTATCCATCTATTAAGTTGGAGTAATTTAAAATCAAATCCTTAAAGAGAAACGGTATGAGTCACCACTAAGCCAAATTCTCGAGAACATCTGAACAGGGAGTAGACGCATCATGCAACTTCTGATTTATACTCATGTCATTAGTAATAAAGTAAAATTTCCAGTGTGCAATGGTACACTACTTATGGAAAATAAATCAACCCCTATTTCATGCAGTGCTGTTAATGGAATAAATTTATTTTTAAATCTCTTTGTGAAACTGATGTCTAAATCAACTAGGCATAGGGTGTTCTCTGTCTCTAAAAGTCAGTAATGAATATATAAGGAAAGAAGTTTTGGAAATAATAACTATAACCATATTAACAGTCAATGAGTTAGTAAGTTGGTATAAATGGTATAAGGGTACCTAAATGGTATAAATGTACCTAAAATGAATTTTTGTACTGCATGTTTTAGCCTTTGAGATTTTGTATGCTACATACTTTTTAAAAAGTGCTTTACACAAGTTTATTTTATTACTGTTAGGGAAACAATTTTCATCAACAGGTTTTCATGGAAAAATGTTTTTATTTTGTTTGTGGTTTTTTTTTTGTTTTTAATTTTTGGTTTTGTTTTTTCTGTTAGATCTATTGCGACACACATTGTAACAATTCTAACAACTAATGGCTTTTTCAAATCCCCACGTATGAACTACTACACTCCATTACAGTTTATGAGATATTTTATGGTCTATAAACAGAGACAGGGAGAAGGTTCATTCGTCTAACACTTATACAGAAACCTCAACCTTTAATTATTTTGCCAAAAGGAAACACTAACACTTTAATATAGTCTCAGGTCCAATCAATAACAAGTGTTTAAATATCTGCTTGTTTGGTGACTAAACAAGTGTATAAAACTCAGAAAGAAGACAGATCTGTACAATACTCAAGAATCAAGCAGAGTACTCAACAGTATATTGTCATGCAACAACTAAAAAGCCACTTTCTTTGAACCTCATTCATTCCTGAAGAGAGAGTCATCAAAAAAAAAAACCCACCAAAACAACAAAAAACAAACAAACAAACAAACAAAAAAAACAAAACAAGCCCAACAACAAAAAACCTAAACCAACTGACTGGTACAGTAAGAGAAGTTTTAAATTATTTCAATTTAACATTTATTCGGGTTCTCTTTTTCTGTGGTTTCGTATGTTATTCAGTATAGGACAAGCATGGATCCTCATCACTCTGACTTGGTAGGAATCTGTAGAACTTCATGACTGAAAGGGGCTATGCAGAAGAGTAAAATGAGTATAAAAGAAATGTACAAAAGTTTGGCACATTTCTCTTTCTGTAACTGAAAGAGAATGAATGATCTCTACTTTCTAGGAATTGAGACATTTATGCTTTTAAGTTAATTAAACTGAATAGATTTGGTTCAATCTCGATCTGTTTCATTAAAATCAGATACACAGTAACATATCATCTTGCCTAATATTGTTTAATATCACTGTAGCACTGTATGCAATCTGTTTTCAGTTAGCATTTTTCTTTTTCACATTTCTCATTTCTGCATCTCCTATGACTCCTACAAGTCAGTCATGCCCTGCAGATGCATTGATATTTCAAATTTGATTGCTTTAATATTAAAGCAGCCACAAAATTTAAGGCAATTGCTCCTTTAGGTATTTTTCCCTTGTCTCTGTAGATCATGAGAAGAAATTAGATTGATTTTTCAGACAACCTGCTATACCAAGACTTTATTAACAAAAAAGCACTTCTTCAGGCTAAATACCTACTATTAAACATACAGGTGAACTGTTAAGCAAAAGCTGTATGATTTAATTAGGAACACCTACAAAGTTGTTTGAGTACATGTGCATATTTGCATGTGTGGATTAAAACAGATTCTGGAAAACAGTGTAAAACTGAACAAATACTTGATAAGTGTTTTACTTACTGGTTCCTAAAGTGGTCTCAGTTTATCTGAACACACTGAACACATGAAATTAAAAAAAAAAAAAAAAAAAATTGTGACTTTTACATAATGAAGCTTTGAAACTCCTCAAAAGCATTTAATTAAGAGTTAAAATAGAGGCCACATTCTTGAGACATTTAAGTTACTGGAAAATATTTTGACTTCCAAAAAAGCTTTGGCTATGAACAACATAATGAAAATTATTTCTTTGGAAAGAGATCTTAACTTTCCAAACTTCATGTGTCATTATGCATTGAAATAGTGGGTGAAGATGAAATTTCACAAGTTTCCAAAACTTGTGAGTTTTGGAACATATTTTAATGTCGTACATGTGGCCCAAAATATGATGTGTCATGAGATTCTATCTGAAATGTTTAAAACCACATATGTATGATGAATTAAAAGTAATGTGAATCACAACTATTCATAACATGCCCCTTTGTAAGTTTCAAAAACAGTTTAGGTTTTTAATCGTAAAAATGTTTATACGAGTCCCTATAAGCTGCTGACCATTACCCACAAAGGTGGCGGTGGTGGGGAAAAGAGATTTTACTTGTGACAGCATTCCACTTAAAAGATACTTTTTGCAGTCCTGGTTTCTAACTTACCTGAAGCAGCAAACTCGAATGGTGACACAAATTAGTTAACTTAGTGGCTGCTGATTCAGTAACAAAGATTCAGTAAGTTACAGTTTATGAGTTTAATCTTGTACATTTAAAAAAATTCTATATCTAAATGATAAATGAACAGGACACTTTCTTCAGTCAAAAATTTATAATCTCCTAATTTAGTAGGTAGAGAGACATAGCAATCAAGCAAGATAAATTGGCATAAATTCCCATATTTAATATCTGTCCCACAGATTGCAAAAATGATTTTAATAGCCTTGACTTTCAGAGATGCTTCTCCAAAGTTTTTATACAAATTTTATTATATTTTAGGAAGAACAGTAAGATAAAAACAAGAAAATTTACCCAAAATGAAACGCAAGATGTATGTGACATTAAATGACTGTCCTGGGTTCAGTAGTAACAATCATTTTTCTCCTTCTTGGTAGCTGGTGCAGCGCTGGCCTGGGAACAGAGCTGATAACAATGATGTTTTGGTTTGGCCAAGGACTTTGTGAGCCTCATGCTCTGCCAGGAAAGAGGGGAAACTGGGAGGAAGCAGAGGCAGGACACCTGACCCAAGCTAGCCAAAGAGGTATTCCATACCACAGCACGTCATGCCCAGGAGGTAACTGGGAGTTAGCTGGAGGGGCTGGGAGTCTGCAGGGTTGGAGGAGGTATGGGTGGGTGCTTGGTTTGCTGGCGTGGGGCGAGTTATCAGTCAGCTGGTGCTGAGGTGTTGTATTCTCTTCCCTTGTTATTTCCCTTATCATTATTATTATTTGTGGTAGCAGTAATGATCGGTGTTATACCTCAGTTACTAAACTGTTCTTAACCCATGGGAGTTGCATTCTTTTCGATTCTCCTCTCCATCCCTCTGGGAGCAGGGGGAGGGCAAGAAGGAGGGGAAGTGGGTGAACGAGTTGCCTGACTGGGTTTAAACCACGACAATGACTGAGGTGAATCAAAGATCAAAACGGATGCACTGACAGCTTTTTATCTTGGAAATCGCATATTCATACTCATGAGAAACAGAGCTGTAGGGCAACAGGATAAACATGGAGCCTGAAGGCAACTGAGTATGTCAGACAACACAAAGGAAAAATTATGAGGGATGAGAAACTAAGATAATGCTCTCTACCCTGGTTTTAATATTGTTTTCTCTGTATTACAGTCTCAAAATTCATTAGTCAATTGTTAGCAGAGAAATAATAAAACCACACTAAAACCATCTGAAAGTGTGACTGTAATGTAATCACTGGCAGAGCCAGTTCTGTTTATAAAAGGCTTAGCATTTTTATTCTGAAAAAGAGTTTTTTTCAAAGTCGACACCAGAACTAATCATACACACTTTTGAGTGAATGCTGGAAAAATGTTTCTGTATTGTATCGATAATCAAAATGCCTGTTATCCCTTCTCTCAGGTTGGTGAAGAGCCTGGTAATCTTTCCATATTGTTTTTTTAATTCCTGTGAATTGTTTTTTATCTTCACATGTTCCGCTAAAATAAGGCAGTATATGATAATCTCAGAGAAACAGAAGACAAATGGCTATGAAAGGTTATTTTACATATATTTCAGATTAGATTTAAAATAATTTAAAGCCTCACTTGTTTCATTATGTTTTCTGAAAAATAAACATCAGTAATGCTCAGTATTTTCTAGAAAACAATGCTATGAAATTATTAATAGCAGAAGAACAGCTTTGGGACATACCCCCT